CCTTCAGGGACGGCGTTCCGCCTGGAAAGGGGTTGGCGGGCAGCTGCGCCGCCTCCGAGCCGCTGTTGACTCGCCCTTCCCTTTAGCCGGGAAAGCCTTCGCCTGCGCCCGCGCGGGAGGAAGCGGGCCCCTCTGAGGGGCAGCCGGCGGACCCCCGCCCGGCCCCAGTCTCTTTTCCCTGGCCGGCCGGCGGGCGGGCGGCGGCCTTCTTCCGGGGGGACAAATATGTTCAAAGAAGAATGGCCCGAATTTTGGGCCTTGACTTCCGGCGGGAGAGTAAAGGTCAGTGCCGGCCCGCGCCGCCCTGCCGGGGGTGGCGCTCTCTCCCGCGTGTTTCCCCTTCGCGCCTTCTCCCCGGGGATTTGAACCGCGAATTCAAGGCGGAGAGCGAGCCAAAGGCGGAGAGCGAAAAAGCAGTGTCTGTTGGTCCCCAGCTTCGGCGCGTCACCGCCCCCACCCACCCCCACCCCCGCCAGAACACAGACAGGACCAGCGGGGGCTTGGGGAGCCCCGACGTTGCTGCCCGCCCAGGTCCCCGGTAGGCGGGTGCCCCGCGGAGGCACCCAGGCGTAGGAAGTTCAGGAAATTGGCCGTGGTTCACGAGACGCCAAGGCGGCCGGCAAGAGACGACTGGATGCGTGCGAGGAACAACACTTGTGCCTGCCCGGCATCTAGGAAGCGGTGGACGGCGGCTGCTCCTGATGCTGAGAACCTGTTCCTACCCCCTCCTGGTTCTTAGCGCAGAAAGGAGATTTTTCTCTAAAAAAGAAATCGACCACTTTAAAAAAAAAACTTCTTTACATTTTAAAGACAAGCACAGTCATCTCCCATGTATTGGTTCACTCCCCCCAATACCCGTAAGGGCCAGGCTGGAGCCAAGGACCTGCAACTCCATCCAGGTCTCGCATGTGGGTGGCAGGGACGCAAGTGCTTGAATCATGGCTTGTGCTGCCCCCAGTGTGTGCATTAGCAGGAAGCTGGGTGGGAATCGGAGGAGCTGTGTTGATTCATGCACTTGGCTGTGGGTTCTACAACTCAGCTTAACTGCTGAGCCAAACGCCCACTTGTGCACCAATCTAGTTAGTCTATAGTTCTTTTTGGGTCCTCCTTGTCATGTTATTTTTTACATTATCTTAATTATAGTGTGTCTAAAATGATTACATTGTGTTTTTTAAAAAGATTTATTTATTTGAAAAGCAGAGTCACAGAGAGGCATAGGCAGACAGTGGTCTTCCATCCACTGGTTCACCCCCCTGGTGGCCGCATGGGCCGGTGCTGCACTGATCCAAAGCCAGGAACCAGGAGCCAGGAGCTTTTTCCATGTCTCCCAGGTGGGTGCAGCAGCCCAAGGACTTGGGCCAACTTGTACTGCTTTCCCAGGCCGTAGCAGAGAGCTGGATCGAAAGTAGAGTAGCCAGGATCTAACCAGCGTCCATATGGAATGCTGGCACTGCAGGCAGCTTTTTAACCTGCTACGCCACAGCACCGGCCCCTAGATGCTGTATAAAAATAAATTATTTGAGTTTTTTATATTCAGGTTATAACCGGGCATGAGCAGTCTAGGTGGGGAAAGTTTAAGAGTGCAAGTGTGCTTTTGGTTAACTTTTTCATGAAACTTTGCATACACCTTCACTATAAGACTACACTTTATATTAATTGCCGGTGTTACATTGTGTTTTAATATCCACACACGGTGGAAATTCTCTAAAAATCAAAAACTACTGAAATATCCTAGAAGTGGAAAGAGATAGCCAGTTCACTATCTCAGCTTCATAACATAAACATAAGCTTCATAAACATACATTTTGGATGCCGGTGCTGTGGCGCAGTGGGTTAACACCCTGGCCTGAAGTGCTGGCATCCCATATGGGCACCAGTTCGAGTCCCGGCTGCTGGACTTCCCATTCAGCTCTCTGATGTGGCCTGGGAAAGCAGTGGAGGATGGCCCAAGTCCTTGGGCCCCTGCACTCACGTGGAGGACCGGAAGAAGCTCCTGGCTCCTGGCTTCGGCCTTCCTGGCTTGCAGCCAACTGGGGAGTGAACCAGCAGATGGAAGACCTCTCTCTCTCTCTCTGCCTCTCCTCTCTCTGTGTAACTCTGACTTTCAAGTAAAATAAATAAATCTTAAAAAAAAAAAAAAACATACATTTTGCCCAGCCTTCTGGACAAGGTTTGGACTGATAGGAAGCTGCTATCGGACAAAGGGTTAAAACATTAGATTTAGGAGAAAAAGTTAGAGAACTTTCTCTAGATGAAATTGTGTTGGGTTCTAAAAGTTTCTAGGTTTCAGTGCAGAGCTATTTGCGAAGTTAAATTTTGCAGTCCTCAAATGCTTTTTCACCAAAAATAATGACATGAAGCTTCAGAGTTAGGGGATTTATTACTTTTCCTCACTGATTACTATGTGCTCTTTCAGGCATCTTTTTCCCATTTAGATAAATTTCTTCCAGGTAGCTTCTGGGTGAGCGTTCTCTTCACTGAACTGCAAGTTCCTAGTAACACCGTAGCAGCTATGGGGTCTGTTACGCACTCACCACATCAGGGTGCTTGTACTCAGTCAGGCCTTGGACCTGCGTTCCTATCTGCTCGCCATAAAAATGTCAGCAGTAGAATTTACTATGATTATTTAACTTTTTATTCAAACTGCTTGGCTTTTTTTTTTTTTTTTGACAGGTAGAGTTATAGACAGTGAGAGAAAGAGAGAGAGAAAGGTCTTCCTTCTTTCGG